GGAAATTTCATAAATGTATAATATAATAATATAACATATTAAGAATGAATAGTAAGCTCTGTCCTTATTAAACAAATGTAAAGTGTAATTGATATGATCATCAATGTTTCTATGTACAGAGTATTCGTTTTTACGTAAATAAATGTTCTTATTCAACACAGAGGAAATATTATATTTATACCAGTAATAAAAACTCACTACACAAGTAATAATATAAAAAAATCCATTTTGAAACTGTTTTATAAATTTGGTTTTGTTTATATGAATTTTAATCAACTTTATATTACTGTCATAGCTTTACGTTAGTTCCGTTCATTTCTAGGGCTCATGATTATTGATAAATATGACTTATTAATAATATATACATGCAAAAGAAATGCGTGTTTCTTGCGTAACTTGGAAAGATTCGTTAATATTCAGACAACATCATACTACACTGAAAGTACTTTCAGATATCGGTAAAAAATAAAAAATAGGTTTAATACATTGTACAAACAGAGCCTGATAACAAACATAGTGATTTTGCATGTAAAAATCGGTTTAATATATTGTACAAAGAGAGTCTGATAACAAACATAGTGGATTTTGTATGTAAATAGGGGGGAAGATAATCATTTACCATCATCAGCCTTATTGTTATCCTTCACATTTCAACAATGAATACATATAATGCCAATTGTAAAAAATTCCAACACGGACAATAGTAATTTGCAATAAAGTAATCCAAGTACATGTATACATTATCGAATAAAAAAAACACACAACTAGAATTACCAATTAATTACTAAAATACTACATACCAAATTACTGAATACACATATTTCAACAATTACCAGTCATAAATTAATAATGAATACAGACATTCCAACACTTACCATTCATACAATAACAATAAATATATGCATTCCAACAAATACCAATCATACATCAACAATAAAGGTACAAATTACAATAATTAAAATTCACATAAGCAAGTACTCTTTATACGCTGTATTCAACATATATTAAGACCTTACATAACTATCTAATTAAAACACACATTTAACTTTCTCTATTTACGTGTTTGAAATATAATTATAGCTACGTGAGATAGTCTTATGGAAGGTTTATAACTACTTGAAATGGTCCCGTAGAAAGTTTTTTAGCGTTTTAATAGTCACCTAAAATAATCCCATTGAAGATTATGTCGCGTTTCCATAGCTACTTGAATTTGTCCTATTAGATATTTTGTAGAGCGATCTTAACTATTAAAAAAATGTCCATTTTGCATTTGTTATTTCTCCAAAAGGGGGGTCAAAGGCCGCCTAGAGGAGTCACCTGTTTTAACCACTCGCACCGTTATACATTAGTGTGTTGTCTGTCAGTCAGTCAGTAGGCACTAAAATGGCGTCACATAAGGGACGCTAACATTACAATTTGTACTTTCTTTACGTCAGTAAAACATGTGCATTTCATGAATCATTAGAAGAATTACGCACTCTGTAGGCTACAACACAGCATGACATATGAACTTCAAAAGCAAGAAATAAAAATATTTGTTTCTTAATTTTCGTTTTATTTATTCTTGAAACAGAGCACTTTCGGGGATCCTGCGCAAGCACATATAGTTATAACTATCTACTTTTATCACTGTTCGACACATCTCTAAGGGTATTAAACAAGTTACAGAAAGGTGGAGTATCGTCGAGAGTTTCTCGTTATAAACGTAAAAAACGTTTTGTAATTGAACTCTTTATTCATTCTATTAATGATAATATGCTCTTTCTCATACAAATTACTAAAGCTCCAACGCAAGTATACACTAAGTATGTTCTTTATTTAACTATCTTAGTACTTCTAATTAAATGGGAGCGGCATGGTCAGGTGGTTAGGATGCTTGACTTGCAATTTAACGGCATAGGTTCGAATCCTCGTCCCAACAAATGTGCTCGTCCTTTTAGGTGTGAGGGAATTATAATATGACGGTTAATCTCACTATTTTGTGGTAAAAGTTGGCAGTCGTTGGGAGTAACTAGCTGCCTTACCTCTCGTATTTTACTGCTAAATTAGGGACCAAACCTACTAGTAGTCTAACTTATTAGTGTGTACTGTAAAGGAGTTCTAGATATTTCGGTGCATTATAAGTTTGGAATGTAATTATTAAGTAGTAATAGTTTATCACAAACTATCATAGAAGACATTCAAGTGTGAGAATCGCAAAAAAATAGTTTTTTACACGATATAGCATAAACACCTGAACGGGCTAAACATTGCGTTGTGCAGGAGATACAATTACCGCAGAATAAAATGTTAGAAATTATTCCACTTATATATAAGTAGTAAATGTACAACTCGCAAACATATTAATTTTAGTATAACGCAAGTTTAAAAGTTATGGAAAAAAGAGAAAAATTTGGCAAACGCAGAAGATAAAATAATTATTGTGTAACAAATGTTTTAGTATCACTTATTATAATAACAAGTGGAAAAAAATATTAAAAAATTCAAAGTATACGAATGGGTGCACCAAGAAGTGAGGAAACAAGGTAGGAATGGGCATGGTGTAATAATACTTTCTCAGTACAATCTTACAAGGGGCGTGTCCAACATCAAATCCATGTCTACTTCGTTTATTCTTTCTACCCTATATACAATATGCTAACTTACCCAACTTAGTTATGCTTACCATACAATGACTAGAGGTTTCTGTGAATCGAATTATTGGAACCAATACATGTACTGTAAAGTCTGTTTGTATGGCACCAGAAGAATCAGATATTCGTGCGCAAACATAACTTGTAAGTTTTTTTCTTTACAACTTTTCCCTCCTTTTGCATTTGAATGAGAAGGCAACATGATTTCGTACATTAGCTATACCTAATCAAAAACGCCTTAGGTGTGAAAAAAAAAGGTACTGCCAGTAAAAGGATTGAGCGCGCGACTTAACAGAATGAAATCAAAATTGGCGGCCAAACTGGTAGCTACATTTATGGCATTGATAATAATTTTACAGCAAATATTCATTCATTAGTTAGCTAGGCCACATATTTTGTATTACTCACCATCATGCTCCAAGTTGAACAAAAAACACGGCCTGTCTAATGAATGGATATTTGCTGTAAGATTATTATCGATGCTATAAGTGTA